ATAATAATCATAATAATAATAATAACAGACTATCTTATGCTATGTTTTACTGTTCTGTACTATACTGTGATATAAAGGAATATGAAATAAGATCCGAAGGCACGTGCCTCCAGAACCAGGCTGCCACGACACAGCGCAGGCAGAATTCCGCCCTCCTAGGTATCAAGTGCTTGTGTGGCCACGTCCTGGCACCTGGTGCCAAGATGGCCTAAACCCTAAACCCTGAAGCAGTAAGTCTGCAGCGAAGGGTATCTCAGGTTTTCTGAGCAGCAGCTGAATGAACTTACCTGCAAGAGCACTGCTTTTCTGGCATGCTTGAAGCTCGAAAAAAAATCGAAGACCTGTTGAGGTGACGGTTTGCTTGAAGTTGATCCAAATATCGGCCAGATTCTTGAAACCGTCCTGCATCGGGAATCGCCGACCCTGAGCAAGTTCCAACGGCCGCTCGGGTCCTCGTACAAATTCACGTACTGGGAAAAGGCTGTATAGCCGCCTGCAGGTGGAGCACTACACACATCAAGAACATGTAACAAAGCTAACACCTCGGTTTGAACAGCTGGCAAGCCATGGGTCACGAAAGTTTCGTGCCTATCGTCAGCGAGCCGGTGATAACCTACATGGCGAAGGTCAGCAGTCAGGGAGGCAGCAGGGGCGCGGGAGACGCACGGCACCACACAATTGACAGCCTGGTGCATTGCGACCGCTAGGACAACAATGTTCCGTATCTTCGAAAGCCCATACCTTTGCAGTCAGCGTCTCTCTGTCTGTGGGGTCTCTTCTCCCTGCCCATCGCATTGAAGAGTCAATCAATCAATGCTTCCGGGTTTAGGGTCCCTGTTGGGCGATCCATGGGGTCTTAAGATCCAGCACAGGCATGAGCCTGAGGACCGCTTCAGCCGGACATGGGAACGGCCTGTGACTGAGGCCGAAACTGTGTAAAGCGCAGAACGGTCTCCAGATACACAGTCGCCTGCATCGCCAACCCTCCCCAGCGTAAGTAAAACTGCTTGCGTTGTCTTTCGAGAACAAGGTCCCATCTTCAGAGCAGCATGGTTTTAGGTGTTCGGTACAGTTAAATGAAGGCATCATCCGGTGCAAACAGAAGATTAGACGCAGCTCAAATATTTGGATTAAAAGGGTGACACTGCGGTCCCGACCCGAATAGTAATTCCGACGTCTCAGTCTCTGCTGCAGCAGCAGCGGTGGTAGTTGTATTAAGCAGTAGCAGTAGCAGTAGGAGTA